GAGAGAGAGGATTGCGGATCGGTTCACAGCGGACAATAATATCATGAAGAGGAATTCGAAGATCAGCCTAAAATAAGGAGAGTGTAGGGGAGTCACAGTGGCTCGATGTGGTGTGTATTCATGACCAATTAGCCAGATTGGAGCCGTTTCCCTAAGTAAAGATGACGTTGAACCCCTCTCCGAGTATACAACGATTTCACGGTGATCCTCCAATATGCATTCCTGTGTCCATTACTGATTGCTTGACGACAGCAGCAGCAGTGGTTGATCTTATGTTATCAGGGAAGTGGTAGGAGTCTCTGTTCGTTAGTAAGTAAAGTTCAATATTAAGTTTATAAAATCCCCGACCCCTGATAAGTGGTAATAGTTGGTACAGTTCATGGGTCAGGTACGTCAAGAGGACTTTACCCAGTACAGTCAAGTCGACCCCTCCAAACACACACCGAAACTACGACGTTGGTACAACGTTCGAACAAGTTTTAACACCACCTAACCAGTTATAACAACCAATATATCAAGTTGTAACAACGTTCCAATACGTCATAAACACATTAAGCCAAAATGTAACAACTTTATTACAAGTTGTTACAAGCGGAAAATAGAGACAGTTTCGGTTTGTGTTTCCAGGGACAGGAGTCTTGCTGGTGAGTCCTGACGGCACACACCACCTGGGTGACGGATAAATATTTTATGATATTGTTATGGCACTGTTTTACCAGATAAAATATATAATTCCTGTTGTCGGGGACTGGAAGCCTCTATTTAGGCTTGTCGAGGTCCTTCTCATTGTCAGCTGACAGACAAAGCCGGATGTAACTCCATTACAATTGCCCAACACTCCAGTACCTATTTCACAGCTAGGTGAATAATCATAATGTGAAAGGTCTCCCTACGTTAACTACTGATCATCCCAAGGATGCAACCCACAACAATAGCCTAACTCCCGGGAACCTATTTACTGCTAAGTGAACAGATGCATCAGGTGAACGGAAAAGTGCCCAACCTCGGATATATATATATCGCCTAAATGGACTACACTCCACGTTGGGTAGTGATATATGCATATCATACGAATATCAATTTTCACGAGAACAAAATGATGTTTGCTGTGTTGTAATTATATTCCATATATTTTGTCGCATCCTTGTGGCAAGGTAGCAGAATCAATACTTTCTGTATGTGCCTTATTATTCTGTATGTGCCTGTCCGAAACGCTTTGCGTAATAGTGGCTTTAGGCATTGTATGTACTAGCTCTATCTATAAATCCATCAATGTTTGTATCTCACCTTGTATGTATGTACTTTACCTGAATAAACATTTGAATTTGAATCTTTGTATGTGTTCATTTGAATATATCTCTTCTACCTCCCCATTTTTACAGTTGTGTGGAATTGGTAGATGTGCACAACATATTCTGTGATCCATGACATTGAGCATACACGTCACAAATGATAAATTCAAAACCTCCTTAAAGGTTCACGTCTCCTGAAAGATGAGACGTGAACCTGAGGCAGGAAGCATTTCCTCACAATTTGCCCGACAATGACCCTGGTCGTGTCCTGGGGCCCATTTTGTTCCTCATCGTTAAAGCAACGATAAGAAGACTGCGCTCGATCACGTTGGACGAGATGTACACCTGACGTTGGACAGCTGCTGGACCACCGGGCTCCACTGCAGGTGTATTTTGGGTGCAGGAGTGTATTGTAGCAGCTGCTGCCGTGGTGCTGACACTAAATGCGGGTGTCGGCAACACCAGGCCGGAGGGAGGGACCCCATTCAAATTCTAGTATTTTTATTGAGAGAAGAAAAAAACATCTCAGAGAGATAGAGTAGCTTAGGCTATTTCTACCCTCCCCCCCCCCCACCCCCTTCCCCCGTGTTAGGCTGTGTCATGCTGTCAACCGACCCTTCACACAGGTAAAAAATATGATTAAAGAACGGGCAACATTGTATGTTATATTACTGACGACCTGTTGCTTAATTTAAGGGCCACGAAGGCACTTACGCTGGTTGTCTCCAGGCGTTCCTTTGGAGGGTAAAACGCAAAGCCTCGCGGCTAGAGTTACGTTGTCTGTCGTCTCTTTACTGTACGAGTCAACGCAATTTACGCTTATTCCGGACCTTTAGACAGTGCAGTACCTTTTGACCTCACCTGGCCACAATGGGTTCCTCCCACTATTGTCACCATGTCGAAACTTACACTGCGATAAGCCTCCGGGTATAAGTATTGGCTCCAAAGCAGACGCTGTCGCAGTAGACACCTGCACCCATAGCACACCTGCAGCCACAACGATACACCAGTTTACCAATCTCGTCTGGTGCCAGATAATTCACAGTAGACCCCGGTTGTCCAATAGCCGTACCACATCAGGTGTGCAGCATCAGGTGTCCAGCGTCAGGTGTCCAGGTCGTCCAACATGATCAAGCGCAGTCTTCTCATCATTGTCCTTTTGGCGGTGAGGAACAGTATGGGCCCCAGGACACCCCCAGGGGCATTGTCTGGGGGGCAGTTAGTGATCCTTATTTTGGGCCTTAATTATTAATTTGGGTTTCATTAATTTGTGTCATTAGTTTGGATCTCATTAGTTTGGTTCTCAATTATGAATGTGAGTTTTAATAGTTTGGATCTTAATTATTAGTTTGGGTCTTATTAGTTTGGGTTTCACCAGTTTGGGTTTCATTAGTTTGGGTTTCATTAGTTTGGGTTTCATTAGTTTGGGTTTCACTAGTTTGGGTTTCATTAGTTTGGGTTTCATTAGTTTGGGTTTCACTAGTTTGGGTTTCATTAGTTTGGGTCTCATTAGATTGGGTTTCACTAGTTTGGGGTTCATTAGTTTAGGTTTCTTATTTTATGTGGGAAAACAGACTCGTGGGATTTATATATTTAATAATTCATATATATATTTATTTATAATTAATTTCTCTATTTATTTCTTACGTTAACTTATTTTTTTCGATAGTAGACTGTATGATATTAAAGTGGACTGTATGATCTTAAATTCCCACAAATCGTTTCCTACACAAGCTTTATTAAAGTATATATGCTATCAATCAAAATTATCGATTGGTAGACAAGCAGTACAATATTAAGACTGCACATGTTAAGTGAATAAAATGGAACAAATTCAGCTTATCTGTATAGTTGTTATAGCCTGGTTAACCAGATATGATCATGAAAGAACGCGCCAACCGACACTCCTCGTGGGTGAGGCTACCGTCATCACATGTTACTTGTTGTACCAGGTAACTGTTGTTAATTCTTCTCCCCCTTCAATTTCACCTGTCAAATGGCACTCACAATAATAATCGTAACCTATATATATATATGACAGCTATATCAGGGTAAATTATCACTGTATTTAATTAATTGATTTTTACTCCTTTAGGTGGCTCGTTTAGTGTTTTAACTGGTATCGTTAATCTGCCTACATTACTGGCCAGGAATGACTAGATAATATGGGGGTATAGGGTACGGAACACTTGTCAAAGATCGTCCTGATAACGGGACGTTTTTAGTCCCATAACACTGTGCCTAGAGGGAAATTTGAGGAGCTACAAGTGTGCTCCCAAGCGATACTCTGTTTTTGTTAAATTAATGGCCTCTCCCTTTTTCTCAGTTCGAGAGATTATTCTCATTCTCGCCAGTTCTAATGCTGCCTTTTTATTGACAATGGGAGGTAGACTTTAGTTATTGGTAATTATATTAGATCCAGTTATAAACAATACTTTTTATTGATTCTAATGCTAGAATGGTGTTTTAAGAGGAATTCACAATATTATTAGCTGGTGAATTCAATGGCTACAAGGTAATGATTCCCCCGCTTTCTTCCGAGGAAAATTCCACTGGAGCCTCGTTTGCTATGAATGAATTGGTTAGTACATGATGTCGTTTTTTCCGACATCTTGAAAGACAGATTATTAAAAGATTCACAACTTTACAAAGAGGCGATAATATTCGACAAAATCATTCTTCCGAACACTTTTGAAGCAGTATACATGGATATATTAGGGGGGCAAAGTGTTTAAGAGTACAATCAGTGGAAATAAGTTTTGTTAACAGAAGCAGCAAGTGTAAGCAAGTGGGATGAGTATAGGAATGAGGAGGAGAGATGTATGAGGGTATGTGGAGTTGTGGAGTGAGTGAAGCACACTACACTGGCATAGGCTTGTTCGAGGCTGCCTGTGACCTGTTTAACAAGAAGGGTTAATCATTAATCCCCTGTGTAGAGGGGAATAATGATAGTATTATATATGAGAGAGAGGCAGAAGGGTGATGTATTTGTAATATAAGAGGGGAACAATACATGAGAGATAGGCTGGAGGGAGGGGTGAGAGTGTTTTAGGGAGTGAAGGAAATGGTATAGCGCCTTGGGCGGATTGTTTGCTTGTTGGGGATTGGTTATCTTGGGTGTCTGGCTTGGCCTTCTCATAACTGTTCTGTGAGTGGCGCAGGTCTAAGGTGTGTTTGAGAGAAGCCATTGGTTCATTTCATTTGAGAGGTGGAGCCTATGGATTCCCTCTACAGTGTTTCTTGGGAGAGTAGCATTAGTGTATCTCTGGCAACGGAAGGGGGTTGAGTGAGTAGTGTTAGGTGTGGAATGGAGGAAGTTGGGAATTGCATTACACTCACTAGTTATGGATTTCTTAAGGTTCCAATATAAGAAGTAAGTACTTGTCTCGTGCGCTCTGATAGTATTATGAATCAAAAGTGCCTGAGATTAGAATTTCATTTGCTACGATGTACCTTATTGTAGCAAATAAAAAAGTTATTAATGCATTTAAAATTATCATTGTTTCTATGATATATATATTCCCCTTGTCTGTGAATAATAATGATTGGTATTTAGAAATGCTAGTAAACTACCTTGATTTCAATCCCTGGATTAAAGTTCAATAATTCTTCCTCTCATTATTTGACAGTAAACAAATTTATGACGTTAAAGAAAACGCACAAGACTATTGAGAGTTCCATATTTTAATATAACTTGTACGACATATAATAGTTCCTCCCCCTCACGCAGGTCGCGTCCACCGCCTGGATGCTCCAGAACGATGCCTGTTCACCTGATTGTGCTGGGAAAGCTCTTGGAGATAAAGTCCCTGACCCCCTGAACTGTACCAACTATTACATCTGTTTGGGGGACGGTATAGTGTCAGACCACGCTGTGCCCTGCTCTGGCATTTTCGACCCAGGTACATCAGCCTGTACCGGGTCGCCTGGTGACACTTGTGACCCTGTTTGCCTGCCCGAAGACTGTCACATCACCTGCAACGGCTCGTTCAGCTTGATCAGTGATCCAAGAAACTGTAGTACATACTATATTTGTATTGCTGGTCAAGTGTCTCAGACAGTTCACTGTAACTCAGACAACCCCTACTTCAACGGTGTGAACTGCGTCAATGACAAGGAAGTTTGTTGCACAGTCTCTTGTGTTCCTTACTGTCAGCCAGGGATCGTGCAGGCCCCAGACCCCACAGACTGCACCAAGTTCTACATATGCACTGAGGAGGGACCAGTGGACTCAAGCCTGCACTTTACTTGTAGTAGCGGAGAACACTTTGACTACCAAATTGGTAGATGTGTCTCGGGTAGTTCCTGTACCAACTTGTGCGCTACAGGATCGTCTACAACAAACTCAGCAGTAACAACCACAACTCCACACACCGTTCCACCAAGCACCGACTGCGTAGACTCGCTTACCTGTGAGGCTCCAGGCAACTTCCCAAAGTGCAGCTCTTGTAAGCAGGAATATTTCACGTGTTCGGCCGCTGGTGCTGCGGGTGTCGTCCACACGTGCACGGGAAACTATGTATTCAACACCGACCCTGACTACCCTTACTGTATTCTTCCCACCAACTGTCCTTATAACCCATAACTCGAGCGCTATGTCATGGGTTCGTATCCTGGCCGGGGAGGATTTACTGGACGCAATTCCTTAACTGTAGCCTCTGTTTAACGTAACAGTAAAATGTGTACTTGGATGAAAAAACGATTCTTCGCGGCGGGGATCGTATTCCAGGGACCTGCCCGAAACGCTACGCGTACTAGTGGCTGTACAAGAATGTAACAACTCTTGTATATATCTCAAAAAAAAAAAACTATGAGTTATTCCTGCCTCTCAGGAGGGAAGAAATACCCTAAGCTACTCTGTCCTTTTAAGATGTGTTTCATTATCTCAATAAATTTACTTGAACTTGAATTCCTGCCTCTTTTCTGGCATGCTTTCTGTGATTGTACCGTAGTAGTCCTGCCTCTACGACCAGCAATATCCTGGCCTGCTGTACCCTGCTAGTCCTGCCTCTACGACCAGCAACATCCTGGCCTGCTGTACCCTGCTAGTCCTGCCTCTACGACCAGCAACATCCTGGCCTGTTCCTACAACCATCACTGACTCTGACATCCTCTTGACTTGCTTCAACTACATGTCTTACAATCTGCAACCACTACCCACTACCACCGCCCTTACAGCTAACCCGCCCTATTAAAATTATCAAGTCCTAAGTATTATTGAAAGAGATATCTGTCAATGACAATTAGGAAAGAACTAGTCCATGCAGGAAAGATCTATGAAACGTACTGAAGATTTCTACACAATAATTCACTGCTGAAATTCAGCCACATTATTACAACATCATTTGACAGGGATTATATTTGTGACTTTAATATATGATTTAAACAGCTTTTGTTTACAAGCGTTTATATTAATTTAAGGCATTTTCTCCTGATAATTTCTAACTTTACCTTCAACAAAGATGTTGTTAGATAACATTAACATTGTGTTTTCTAAGATTGTTTTTAGTAAAGTCTTGAAGATGGTTAACAATACTGTACAAATGAGTTTATTCACTGTAAAGTCTAATAAATCAGTCGTGCTTTCGATGACCAAACTACACACCAGAAGATGAAGAGACGACTACGTTTCGGTCCTTCGTGGACCATTATCAAGTCGATTGAGATGGGAGCGAGATTAATTGATTAATGAAGATTAAGTCACCCAAGAGGTGGTACGGGCATGAATAGCCCGTAAGTGGTAGATTTTGTTTTTAGTAAATGTATACTGTGTGCTGAGGTCACATTTAATCGTCAGGCTGCTAATGAGGTATAGGATACTGCTTGACAGTATTTATGAGGGTGTCCAGCTGCTGGACACCCTTTTTGACCAGAAGAGTGGCAATGTTGACGGCTTTAGGGTGATTACTGCAAGATTCAGGGACTCTTAAAGCTCTTCTAAGGTCGTTGGTCGCTTCACATTCCAGAAGATAGTGAAGTAGTGGCTTCTCTGTGACTGGCAGAAGATGCATTCCCAGTCTCTGGGAATTCACCAAAATCCCAGTTGCATCTGTAACCTAGACGTAGTCTATATATACTGCTATATATTTCCTTGTGATGGGAGTGAGTTGATGTTTTAGATTCAGCTATTCGGAACAAAATGTTCCAAGTAGCACGGGGTATGGTGATCCCGTAATGGACTTACCTGGCACAGGACCGGGCTGTAGCTCTGGGGAGAGAGATGATGTTTTTGTTTTAGAATTAGCCACTCAGAATGAAATGTCCATATAGCACAGGCTATAGTGAGCCCACGATTGAGTTCGGCTATTCGCACTAACCTTGTTACTGTGATATTTGGGTCAAAACTTTAAATGGAAGTTGGGTTTTCTCCGTTTCTTCCGCTACTTTTCTGCTTCTGTTTTAGTGCATTGGTTTTAGTCTTGTTTTAATAACATTATCTTGGTGGCAAATATGGATGCACAGTGTTCACTACTGTGTACCACTCTGCAACCGATTTTTTAATCAGTGTAATCGCTGTGGATTTTGCATCTAATGTAGCTGCTCTCGTTTGGTTAATGTTGAGTTTGATGCGCAGGGCTTCGGTTGCTTCACATTCCAGTAAGTAGTGCAATAGTGGCGCCTCTGCATCTGTTCCACAGATATGACACTTTAACTATTGGGTTCATTACCTCCCAGCAGTACTTGTAACCAAGTCAGTCTGTGTATGACTACTGCAATGTCTCTGGATATCTTTTTGCCAGGCTTGAAAGAATAGTACCCAGTGGCTTGTTCGTGCCACATCGCAGTGGATCTTCCATCCGCTAGTTTGGTTCGGTGGCGACTTTTGATAGTTCGGAGTAATTTCTTCTTGATTTGCTCCTTAATCTGTGAAAAACTTGGAGGAATTTTAATCTGAACAGGTAGAGCAGTGGCAGTTTTTACTTGTGTCTGCCTTTTCATTACCATCTATCTCAATGTGACTTGGTATCCAATTTAGGGTCATTGACAGCCCTAGATTGTGTGCTTCTTTTCCTATATGTAGGATTTATGTGATGAGCTGTATATTATCTCTGTGATGGCTGGATAACAATGCCTCGCGTTAAGATTTAGAGTCGGTATGAATGATGACATGTAAATTATTTTAAATTGCATAATTTATGGCCACCTTCAGGGCATATATTTCTGTTTGCAATGTTGAGCACCCACTGTTCATGCTCCAGTAAGCTTCATGGCTGTTAGCTGTCCCCGTTGTGTAGTGGTTAAGACGTTCTCCTGGCGTTTCGTGAGCGCTGTGTCCTGGGTTCGTATGCTGGCCGGGGAGGATTTACTGGGCGCAAATCCTTAACTGAAGCCTCTGTTTAACTCAACAGTAAAATGTGGTACTTGGTTGTTAAACGATTTTTCGCGGAGTCGTATACCAGTGAACATAGGATTAAGGACTTGCCCAAAACGCTACGAGTACTAGTGGCTGTACAATAATGTAAGAACTCTTGTATATATAAATAAATAAAAAAATTAATAAATAAATTAGTGTAAACTGCTGCCCCAGCAGAACCTCTTTCTTGATCAACTGATCCGTCTGTGAGGATGCGTGTCGTTGTTGGTCTAGAGATGGTTTCCATTTGTTGTTCTATGACTGCTTTGAGCCTCTGCGAGTCACATGCTGATTTTTTAACTGGTAATCTTACAATCATTATCATTAGACTCGATTCTTTCCATGGAGGAGGCTGCCGAAAGTGCAGATATGGTCCATCTTTTTTTATTTTAATAGTACGTTTCAAGTCCACTTTCTCTATAACCTTGGCCGGAATATCGGTCCATGCACTTATTCTATATTGAAGGTTTGGGAGCGAGAGAGGTTCGGGCATTAAGTAAGGCAAGAGTGAGAGGAGGAGCAGGTAAGAGAAGAAGGAAATTCCCAGAAGAAGGTAAGAGTAAGGCGAAAGGTAAGAACAAGAAGAAAGGTATGAATGGAATGGGTGTAATAATAGGATGAAGGAAGAATGAGATGGGTAAGAGTAAGAGGAGGGTAAGAAAAAAGGGGGCAGGCTTAAGTCAGGTCACGAGTGTTAGAAAGGTTAGAGCATTTGAGTATGTACTGTGAGAGGGAAGAGTCAACAGCAACAAAGCCAGGAGTGAGGTTCATGTTGGGAAGGTTGTGTGTCAGAGACGATTCAACAAGACAGCGTCTGTGAAGAGTAGAGGCAGGAAAGATTATTTTAGAAGAAAGATGATTAGAATGCCTAACTTTACAGAAGAGAGAAGTCGTGTTTTTCATTGCTCTCTGTAGATAAATAATGAAATGTAAATTATGTATTGTGCAGGACCAAAGGTGAAATTGAATTATTTTTCTTAATTTGTCTAATAAAAATAAAGATACAATGCATGTTGTGTTACAGCTTCAAAAAAGTCGCATTACAGCTACAAACAACAATTCCGGGTGGCTCATTCCGAGTACAGGTTCTCGAGACCTATATGCGACACAGGCCCGCATGACCGTCAATACCCACTCTCCCCCCCCCCCACCCCAACCACAACTTCCCATGCCTCACACTCTCCCAAAACACCCCTCCCCCCCCCCCCCCCCGGCACGAGCGCACACTCATGCATACACCCAAACACACACCCACAAACACCCAAACACACACACCCACAGTAGGGCCTCGTAGCCTGGTGGATAGCGCGCAGGATTCGTAATTCTGTGGCGGGGGATCGATTCCCGCACGAGGCAGAAACAAATGGGCAAAGTTTCTTTCACCCTGAATGCCCCTGTTACCTAGCAGTAAATAGGTACCTGGGAGTTAGTCAGCTGTCACGGGCTGCTTCCTGGGGTGTGTGTGTGTGTGTGTGTGTGGTGTGGAGAAAAAAAAAGTTAGTAAACAGTTGATTGACAGTTGAGAGGCGGGCCGAAAGAGCAAAGCTCAACCCCCGTAAAAACACAACTAGTAAACACAGTCGAGTCGAGTGGACTGTGTCGACTCGACAGTGGAGTCGAGCCAGCCGCGTGGGAAGGTCGCGCTCTATGATTATCGTCAATATTCTCGATTTCATTAAACCTACAGTGACAGATCACAGATCTAGGGTGTAACAAAGTGTATAACCAGCATATGAAAGAAAAAAATATAGTGATATCACTAAAACTTTGTGTTAAACAGTGAACATTCGCCAGCACAGGCCACGTGGGAGGGCCACGTGGCTTTGTTTACATACTGGCACATAGAAGGGATATTTGGGACTATAGAGAACAGTGGTACAGTAAAGCAGTGAACTGAAACACAACAGATATAACGATAAAGTGACTGGCGTCAGATCTCTGTGTTAGAGAAGAACTGCCGACATCAATCTACTAGCACTTAGTGAACACCACATGGGAGAGACCTCGTCATCCAGACATCTCTATTATTCACATGGTTGTGCGAACGGGAGGCTGACTGGAATGTACGCCGCTATATCAATTATTCTGCCCGAAACGCATTGCGTAATAGTGGCTTTAGGCATTGTATGTACTAGCTCTATCTATATATTGATCCATTAATGTAACATCACTTGTATGTATGTACCTTACCTGAATAAACATATTTATTTATTTATTTATTCTGGTGTACA